TTAATTTCTCTCTAATTCTCTTCTCTTCTCTTCTTCTTGTTCCCTTGCGCCACCACCACCACAAATCACCACCTCCACCGCCGGCTGACACTGACCCCAGCCGCCGGTTGTTGCCCCCTTTGCCGCCATCTCTCTTCTCCTTTTTCCTTGGTTTTCTACCTCTTCTCTCCTCTTCTCTTAATTAATTAATTAATTAATTATTAATATTAATGGGGTGTTATAAAAATTATCATGAGTGTTTTTATATAAATAAAATCAGATTTTTTATTCAAGTTTATGAAAAAATAATTTATAAGGTTCATGTACATATAGTTGGGGGGTTTTTAATTTAATTGTTGTGATTATTTGTTAGCCTTATATTAATTAAGGTTATATTTATTTGTAGGGTGTGTTTGATCAAAGTTCTTGAAGTCCTTTTTTGTGTTGCTAGCAAGGATCAAAGGTACGTTTAGGTGGCTAGCTACCTTTGAAATTGATTGGATTGAATAAGCATGTTTTATATAATTAATATAGTGATTGAATTAAATTGAATTGAATTATGATTTATGAAATAAAAGCATGTTTAAAGAATTGATTTTTATAAATATATTGAGGATTAATTTTATATCATGTTTTGAATAAATTATTTATCATGTTTTAAAAAGGTTTGAGTTTGAAAGCATGTTGAATTAAATAAAAAGGAGGTTTTAAATTGTTTTATTATAAAGATTGGAATTATTGATTTAAAGAGGATTTATTGAGTTATTTATAAAAGCTTTACAAGCATGAATATTATATTAATCCCACTATGCGGATTCATTGAAGATTATGGACTTTGTATGACCTACTCTTTCCTCAAGTATAGCCTTTCAACATAAAGATACTAGCTTGGGGGATGTGCACAATTAGAGAGGAATTGGTTTTTGAAAAGAATTGATTTTTTTAATAATCATTATTATTGAATTATTGATTTATTGGAATTATATTTGATTATATTGAGAATTGATTTTTAAATCATGAGTTCGGAATTATTGAATTAATTATTGGAATTGGTTTTAAAAACATGTTTGCTAATAAATTGAATTTACTTATCTTGCACCTATCGTACTTAGTAGCATATTTTGCTAATTCGTATTTCCTATTTGTTTTGTTTCGCCCATTTTGCCTTAATGGTAAGTAGTGTTGACTATTTTCAGGCGGAGTCAATAATTGAGCATATGGTAGTCTTGGGATGTTCTTCACCTAGTTTAGGAATGTTGGTCCTTGTTTATATTTTGAGTACTCATAACATTAGTTACTATTTTTACTAAGTAGCAATAAAGAAAGAATTTGAATTTCCGCTGCAAAGTTGTGGTTTTAATTAGAAGTTTGAGTAGCCTTGCGTAATCACGCGGCGGTAATACGCCTAAGTCTATCTCTACAGTATAATTATATGTATTATATTGGTATTTCCGTAGAGAGAGATTTGAAGGTGTTACAATAAAAACATATAAACTTGCTGTACTTTTTATTAAAAACATTATTTTCAATAGTTTTCATCAACTACAACCAAATCCCATCAATAGACAATAATTTAGAAACTTAGGGTTTTCAATTTGGGGCTTTTTAATTCAAAAACCAAATCTGAAAATTATATGCATATTAATCATAGTTAAAACATCATAAAATCATTACACAACCCAAAAACAATAATTAAATCAAGGCTAGATTAAATTAAAACAAAGAAGATTTTTTTCTTTTTATGAGGGTTGCGCACGCACACCACCACGACAGGGTTGCTGCCGCGCGCCCGCCGGTGGTGCTGCTGTTGGCGCCTGTTGGTGGTAGTGGCTGGCCGATGGGTGGTTGTGGTGGTGGCCGACCACTAGTGGGTGGCGTGTGTGGTGTGTGGCATGAAGGTGAGAAAATAAAAGGGGATGGGGAAAAATTAAGGAAAAAGAAAAATAAGAGGAGAGAGATTTTACCTTTATGTATTCTCCACCTTAGGCAAAGTTTAATTTGTTCATATGATGGGTATTTATACCCTCTCTCAAAATACTCTTAACTTAAATTCCTTTTCTACCCTTAATGATTCCTACTCCTATTCAAAATGACATTTGCCTTTCCTTAAAAGTGCATTGACTTTAAAATTTCCTTTTATAAAATAATTATGCCTCAAAGTTTTTAAATAATAAAATAAAATATTTTCAAAGCAAATAAATAAATAAAAATGGACCTTTAATTAAAATAAACCTTTTTAAATTAATAAAATACCATAAATAATTGATTTCAAATTAATTAAATACGTCATGAAAATAACGTTTTAAATTAATATACGTATAAAAATACGGGGTATTCAATTAACGTGTGTATTGTTTTGATAGAAAGAGATACGAGGCATCAAAGTAAGTAATTCGATTATTTAATTATTCTTTAGATATATAAATCATGCTTAGAATATTATATTAATTCCTAGTATCATGTTTAGGGTGTTAATTAATATTTCTAATATTATGTTGATTTCTAGTACATGTTTAGATTAATGCTTTGATTATGGTTATTAGTGACATGCTAGGGTTTATTATTAATCCATTTAGTATCACGCCTAGAATAAAAATGTTTTGATGTTATTATGATGATGATTGTTGTATCAATTATTATATTTCTTGATTATTCATGATTTATTGTTATTGCTTGATCACGCCCTTTCTTGCAGGTTTAAAGGGAATTTGTACTTGAAATCACGCATAAAGATAATTAATAATATTTATTTAGGCTAATATGATTTTAATTTAAGTGGTCACCAATAATAGATTTGATTGTGCATTAATAATCAACCAACATAGATTAAATATGTTTAGGATTAACTTGATGTATGTATGTTGATCGGAAAGCGCACATGAATATACTAAGAATTAAGTAGAGGCCAATTTAGGGCGAGTACTCTTTTAGGTTGGATTCGTACCATCATCCCCGAATATCCAGTCATGGTTGCGGACCACTATGGAGTTAGCGAGCTCCGTGATCGTGAATGGGGTGTAACCTTCACACCCGTGAACAGTTTACAAGTTCTTAAAACTTATTGATGACTCTTTTATCTCTAGCTTCCTTCCCTTTGGACGCCACCATGCTTAAAAACGTGAATCGCTAAACATCGCCCGCAAATCTCCACATAAAGCCCACAAATTTGTATTGAAGTGACCTTATTGCCCTTTTTGTTTTTAAAAAAAACCACTCACTACATCTTTCTAAAAGCGGCAAGGGAAAGAGGTGGCGGCGGCGACGGCGGAGGAAAGGCGGCGACTTGGTGGCAAGGTAATTATTTAAATTATTTTTAAAAAAAATAAAATAAAATAAGCGGCGAAGGTGGGGCGCCTGGCCAGGACGCCCACCCACTGGCGGTGGCGCCAGCTCCGGCAGCCAGTGCCGGTGGCGTGGCGTGTGGCTTGGAAGCCCAGCCAACGGTAGAGGCGTCCAAACCAGGCGCCTGCCCACTGGCTATGGCTGCCGGATCTGGCGCCACCGCCAGTGGGTGGGCGTCCTGGCACCTTCGCCGCTTTTTTTTTTTTTAATTTTTTTTTTTTTGGAAAATCAGAAAATTTGTGTTACTTTTAAATAATTTTGTTTTATGTCTAATTTTTTTTTAATGTGTTTGATTTTTTTTAATATTTATTAATTTTATGTGTTATTTTTTATAAGTCTAGTATATATATTTTTTATAAAATCAAATAAAAAACATAAATTTCCACATCCTAAATCAAAACATAAATTTATTAAACATAATTCAAAAAAAAAAAAACTGTTTTTAATAGAATTCCGGATTTTCAATTTTTTTTTTTTTAAAAAAAAAAACAAAAAAAGAAATATAAAAAAGGCAAAAAAAATAAAATAAAAATAAACGGTAACGGCGGTGTCTGGCAGAAACGCCAGTGCACTGGTGGTGGCGCCTAGCCTGGACGCCTGTGCACTGGTTGAGGCGCCTGGGCTGGACGCCAGTGCACTGGTTGTGGCGTTTGGCTTGGACGCCAGTGCACTGGTTGTGGCGCCTTGCCTGGACGTCCTTGCCATGGTTCCGGCGTCCAAACTAAGCGCCACCTCGTTTTCCGTCGAAGATGACGTATCTCCGGCATCCCTCGCCTCTCCGGCCTCTCCTCCAGTCTCCCGGGCAACCCAGTACGACTCCACATTTGTTAGATCGAGATTTGTTCACTTTGGGTACGATTTTAGAAATGGGCAAAATTGTCAAATCATGTCTAATTTGTGGGCTTTATGTGGAGATTTGCAGGCGATGTTTAACAAATCCCATATTTTATTAATATCTACTTTTTAAAATTTTACAATATCAAAAATTAGATATATTAATCGTTAAAATAGTGCGTTGGCAAACGTGATAAAAGAAAGGTATCGACTTTATAAAACAGAGGTAGTATTACATATCATTCTTTTTCAATATTAGTAGTAAATATTAATAACAATTTCAAGTATGAAAATAATGCAATAACCCAGGACATCACCCGAGACTAAGGTCTGTTTAGTTCAACTTATTTTTACTTATTTCTAGAAAAAAATAAGTTCAGATTAGAAAAAATTAAGTTCAGATAAGATTAGATTAGAAAAACTAAGTTCAGATCAGATCATCGTTTTATGTGCAATTTTTTATCGCTAAATATCTTTAAATTTCGTAATGAAAAAATAATGAAAATTACATATTAATAAAATACACATTATTACAAATCTAACAAGATTTCACTTGATATATTTTTTCCTTACAGATTATCGTACACTTAAGGTCAAAATTTGGTAAAATCAGACAATAAGATCAAATCAGATCAGACCAGATTAAATAAAATCAGATCAGCAAAAATAAGGTGAACTAATAGGGCCTAAAAAGCGAGTTAATCCATTGTAAAGAGTAGAAGATTAAGAAACCAGAAGGCAAGACCCACATAAAAACCACCCAATGATAAAACGACACATGAGCAAACTCGTTGTCCATGACGTGTCAAGCAACTACCAAACCAAAACCGTGTCATCTTCTTTCTCCTCTCTCATTCCAATAATATTTTAACATATTCCCCCGCCCCTCTTTCTCTCTCCTCTTAACCACCGGAGCAAATCAAATTATCAAGCATACTCCGGCGATCTCGTCGAGAAACTCACCGGGAAACTTCCTAATCATGGCGACCACCGACAAATACAACCTCAAGAACCCGGCTGTCAAGCGGATCCTCATGGAAGTTAAGGAGATGCAATCCAATCCTTCTGACGATTTCATGAGTCTTCCTCTTGAGGTTTCTCTCTCCTCTTTTTCAGTCTTTTTTTAACATATTTGCGTTTTATATTTCCGATTTGATGCTTCTGATTGTTTTCTAGCTTTGTCGATTGTTGTAATCTCTTTATTTCTTCGTTTTTGTTTGATTTTTTTTTTTTTTTTTTTTTTTTTTTTTTTTTTTTTTTTTTTGGTGTTGAATGTATTTTGAAGTGTGTGTGTGTGCTTTTTTTTAATTTTTTATTTTTATTTTGGTAATTATTGACATTTTGTGGTTCTGTTTCTGGTTAATTTTGTGTTATTCATCTAATTGTGGATTTGTTGAGCATGAATTTGATCTCGATTACATTTTCTAGGGTTTTCATCGGGATTTTTTCTTTTTTATTGACATCTTTTTTGAAACATTATTTGCTGAATTAAAATTGATTAGATGCTTATTCGCGAGTAATAATTTATCTGGCAGTGAAAAAAAAAATTGGTTTTTGATGGATTACCATGATGGATTTGTTGATTTTGTGCTGAAATAGTTTGGATGAATACCTAGGTTTCTGGTGTTACTTTTAAAATTGGTAATTTCGTACTGAATTGTAGAATTTTTAAATTTCCGGCAGCTTTCTTTCAAAATTTTGGTACTAAATTAACAATTAGAGTACGTGTAATGTGTTTCGTACACTATGAATTTATTATCATGAATGTATAGCTTGTCTTTTAATGCTGAAAAAGACTTTAGAAGAGGATTACAGAATTATAGGCGAATTATGGAATTTTCATCTCGTTGCCTGGGTTTGACCTTGCAATTGAATTGGAAGTTAGATCTTTGGTTGCTTTAATAGGCAAATCGGAAACATTTTTCTTGTTGGTGATTGAGTTTTGCTGGTCTGGTTCATTTAGGAGAACATATTTGAATGGCAATTTGCGATTAGAGGACCCCAAGATACTGAGTTTGAGGGTGGAATCTATCATGGAAGGATTCAGCTACCATCAGAGTATCCATTCAAGCCTCCTTCTTTCATGCTGTTGACGGTAATTACTTTTGCTCAGTCACTTCCTACTATTTTCCTGTTCAAACAAATTTAATGATGTCTGTATTCTACGAATCTATGCAGCCCAATGGTCGTTTTGAGACCCAGACAAAAATATGTTTGAGCATATCAAACCATCATCCAGAGCATTGGCAACCATCTTGGAGTGGTAAGCTGGACTTTATTTGCTTTTCATGTTTCAAACACCAAATTATAGGTGTACAAGTTATGCTTGTGTGCCATCGTTGTACGGATAGGCTTAAGTGTGCCTTTCTTTGTGTCTATGCTGCATGATTCTCAATTGCTGTAGAATATGCTGCTAGATTAGTGTTATTTAATGCACTGTGTGAACTGTGAAGCATAGAGTTCTTGAGGCTGTTTGTTTTTTTTAGTTCTTAATCAGCATTTGATAGGGGAATGAACATATGTGTACATGAGACTATGAGAGTGGGGTTTGATCTGGCAGCTTTGGACTGAAATATTGAAGTTGGCTTTTGAAATAATAAGAAGAAATATTAAGATGTGTGCATGTATTTCTCTGCATTTCATGGTCAATATTCATGTTTTGTTTAATGGTGCTGGTGGCAGTTCGTACAGCGTTGGTGGCACTCATAGCTTTCATGCCAACAGCTCCTAATGGTGCTTTAGGATCTTTAGACTACAAGAAGGAAGAGCGACGTGAACTAGCTATTAAATCTCGTGAAGCATCACCAAAGTTTGGAACTCCTGACCGGCAAAAGGTGATTGATGAGGTTAGTTCATGCTCTTCAGTGACCTGCCTCCCCTCTTATTATGCTGCATACTAGTGTAACTTAATGTTAATTAATACCTCTCGACTTTACAGATACATGAATACATGCTTAGTAAGGCTCCACCAGTTCCTGAAAACCTGAAGCAGGCTTCTGAAGAGAACCCAGGTGAAAAGGAGGCTGAAGCAGAGGGAAGTGAGAATGCTGGAAGATCAGCTAATTCTGTAGACCCTGCAAATGCAGGAGGTGAGAGAGCTGTCGAGGAACCTCAAGCAGCTGTTGACAATGCTAATGCTGTGGATCAAAGGGAAGCAGTTCCTAGACAAGTTAGAGCTGGAATTCCAAACCAACAGCTTCAACACAGGCCTGCACCAAGGAATCAAAGGCCCAGTGATGATCGTTTTCTCACATGGGCAGCCGTGGGGTTGGCTGTTGCCATTGTTTTTCTTGTACTGAAGAAGCTTGTGAAATCCAGTGGTTATGACGCTATTTTTTTGAGCGAATCGTAGATACTAGATATGATCGATTTTGTGTGCAAAGATGGCAGGCAGATCAACAAGTCTTGCATTTGTAAGAATATATTGAAAGTATATGGTGTAGTGTATATTGTGTAGGCCTTAATCAAGCTATTTGATTATAGCATTATCATGTTAACATTTATATTGTGGTGAGGTTATACCTTCTCTGGAATAGTACGAATAGTATCCAACATTCTAAAGATGCTTAGTAAACTTGGTTTTTGACCTCACTGATAAAGTTTGGTCTACTGATGGTGGACTTTAGTTAAACTATATATGTAACTTATGTAAGCAACATTCGCAGATGAATATTGGTGTGATCAAGCTTCTGTCTATATTTTGTTTAGAGAACCTATGAAGATTTTAAAATACACTCAAGGTTATTGTTTTTGCTCATTTGATGATTAAATGAGCAATAATCATCCTTTAATCATCAAAATGAGTAAAAAAAAAAACACTTTAGGTTGACCGTGTTTTGGGTGTATATAACAAGATTAACAACTTTGGATAACCTAGTCTCATAAATCATAACTTTGGCTTAGAAGGGTCAAGGTATAGTCATAACAACATTAGACCAGAAGAAATGAAGAATTTGGGCAATGTATAGTCAAAGCAGCATTAAATAGGGGGGACGAAAGAGGAACTTGAACCAAAAAAAAATACTTGTATTACTACAATTAAGCTCAACTCCTTGTGGTTGTTATTGCTACGGAATACTTCGTAACACTTTTTAATCACTTTTAGCTTTCAAGATGGATATAACTACATCTATTCATTGGGTAAATAATTAGCACTAATATACAATTAAAAAAAAGGTAGTGTTGAGTTGTATTTCACTATCATCAATCTGTATTAGAGATTTTGAGGCGGGTAAGCCATTTTTTTTTCCATCACAGATGCCGCCATTAATCATGCCTAACCCTCCCCTCTCATCTCTATGTTTATTGTCTTATAAGACAAGGAAAAGAGGATGCAAGTAGGTACTAGGTAGTAGACTAGTAGTTGGTTTTGAAAAACAAATAATGTGTATTTTTAGCTACTTCAGAGCTAATTACCAGCATTAAGATGCTTGCTTCTAGGAGGATCAATAGCAAGAGAACCATTTGAAAATGAAGAGCTCAAACCAGATTCATGACAAGAGAACCATTTGAAAATGAAGAGCTCAAACCAGATTCATGACGTTCTAGAGCCTGGCTGTCATGATGATCATCTCCAACTAATCCATCAAAGTGTCCTAAGATTTCTAGTTCAAGTGTTATCCTCGCGCGAGTCCCTGCAGCTCATTATCCGATCCGATGTCAGCTCAACTGCATAGCCATCAACAATTTCAGAAGACTTTAGTCTTCGGTAGAGAGAAGATCGTCTCAGAAGCTTCATATTCTTCTCAGCTTCCCGCTGCTTTATTTGTCTCAGTAACCACCAGCAGGTCATAGAGTCATGAGGACTAATACGAATACGTATTGAAAAGAATCCTTGTAGCCGTCCACCCAAACCCTGCTAGGTTCTGTATTTGCTGAGCTCCACAATCTTTTCCCTGATACTATCTCTAATGGGTGGGAGGAGTGGGTGACAACAAGCTTGACTGCTACTTTTCTACATTGTTTAATATTTCCAGTAGTCTTTTAAATAATCGATCCCTTAATAGTTAATCCATCCAAATGGCTCCATTACAGCAATGTCATTAGGCAAAGACAGGTGACAACTTGAAAAAGAATTTTAGTACTATCACTATCATAGCAATTGAAATTGGACTCTGCATTAGTATTCCAAATATTTATTAGCAGTAATTGCACCAGAGACGTATGAATTTCCTATCTAAGCAATTGGCAACTACGGAGTATCTTGTACCTATCAAAATCAGATGAGTAGATAACCTGACGACATCCGAATTCTGTCAATAGAACAATTGTCATTCATTTTCTTCAAGAATAATCAATTAGGGTAGGAGCTGTGTCAACTACATGACCGACTCCTTTCATCTCTTTGATCAAGTTATGCAAGACTGAGAAGACCTCATCAGTTCTGCAGTGTGATATGTCTCTTGACACAAAAGTATTCACTTTATCATCTATTTCAATCCAACTGCAGCCTGGCTCTTTGATCACTAGATTCGATTCCATTTTTTCCCGGATCTCCTTCACCTCTGTCCACATACCTTTGGATGCATATATATTTGAAAGCAAAATGTACGATCCACTATCTTCTGGGTCAGAGGATATAGCCATCTCTGCAGCAAAAGAGCCTAATTCATAATTTCCAGTGGCTCGACAGGCACTGAGCAAGCTTCTCCATACTATAGCAGCAGGTTTAACTGGCATTTTCTCAATAAATTCTTTTGCATCATTCAGCTTACCAGCTCGTCCAAAGAGAGACACCATGCAGGCATAATGCTCCATACCTGGTTCAATTCCGTAGCTGAGCATCGTGTCAAAATGTTCACGCCCAGCTTCTACAAGGCCTGCATGGCTGCATGCCGAGAGAAGCCCAATAAATGTCACATAGTTTGCTGCAACCCATCTTGGAGCATCTTCTCATACAAGGAAAGAGCTTCTTCAGCTACTCCATGATTTGCATAAGTGGAAATCATAGAATTCCAACAGGCAATATCCTTCCACGCTGTGATATTAAATAACTTGTATGCATCTTGTAAGCATCCACACTTAGCATACATATCCAACAGGGCATTTGTGACAAAAGCATCACTGTCTAAGGTAGATTTCATTAGCTGACAATGAAACTGTTGACCATGGCGAAGACTTGCAAGATTACTTGCTGCAGTGAGCATTGCAACAAAAGTGAACTCATTAGCCTTTTGTCCAGCCACTTGAAATTGACTGTAAAGCTTAAGAGCCTCTTCATTTTCCAGCTGTTGAGTATAGCCAAAGAGCAAAGCATTCCACACTACCACATCTTTCTCACTGATCTCATTAAACACCAGTCTTGCCTCCTCGAGAAAATTGCATTTACAATAGACATCTATCAAGGCACTGCTTGCAAACAAGTTGCTAGACACACCTACCTTGATGATAAGGCCATGAATTTGCTCGCTTAATTCCAAAAAAGAAAGTGATGCTGTTACCCCAAGAATGCTAACGTATGTTAAGAGACTGGGATGTAGCAGCTTAATCCTCATGTCATGGAACAAATTCAATGCTTCAGAGATCATTCCCAATCTTGAGTATCCCTCGATCATTGCATTATAAGATGTCACATTGTTCTGAATCACAGAATCAAATGCCATTCTTGCATCAGCAAGGGAATTACACTTTGAATACATATCAATCAGTCCATTTCTCACATATCCATCAGACTCGAGATTTGCTTTAATAATATAAGCATGGACCTGTTTTCCTGGCAAAAGAGCTTCAAGTGAACCACATGAATTGAGAACGCTTGAGCAAACAAAATCATCAAGCTTCCTACCACATCTGTTCATTTCATGAAACAATTGTAAGGCGTCGACATGAAACGAATTCTGCATGTATCCAGCAATCATAGTGGTCCAAGAAATAGCATCTTTTGCATCAATCTGGTCAAATAACTTCCTTCCACTTTTTACTCTACCACATTTCACATAAGAATCTAACAGCACATTCATTACAGAATTGTCCAATTCCATTCGTCTTCTCAATACATAAGCATGAATTTGCTTCCCCCCTTCAAAATACTCGAGCACTGAGCAGGCATTTAGTACACTAGAAAGAGCATATCTATCAGGGACATCATGATCCCTCATCAACTGATGAAACAGCATAACTGAAACATCGCTTCTTCCACTCTTAGCATATCCTGTCATCATTATAGTCCAAGTAAACAAACTTTTCTCTTTCAGCTCATCAAACACCATTCTAGCATCATCGATATCACCTATCTTCGCATAAAAATCAGTCAAGGCAGTACCCACATACACATGTTCACTCAAACCACTCTTTACAACAAAACCATGCACTTGAGTTCCCTGTGCCAGAACGCCCATCTGCACACAAGCACGCACGACGCTTGCTAATACATACTCATTAGGTTTCTCATTGCAACTCCTCCTACATTCTGAAAAGGCCATTAAACCCTCTTCAGCAAAACCATGCTGCACATAAATTTTAACCATGGTAGACCAAGATATCAAGTTTCTCTTAGGCATTTTATCAAACACTTTCTGTGCATAACTAATACAACCCAGTTTAGAGTACAAATGCAAAAGAATGTTTCCCAGAAAAATATCGTACCCAAGACCAGAAACAAGAAGGTAGCCATGAATTTGTTTACAGTACAAAATGGGTTTTTCTGAAAAGCTGGGTAATTGTAAAAGATGGGCAAATTCTCGACGAACACTTTGGAGTTTCCGAGCAGAAATCTGGGTTTTTGGGATTATTTCAGATGAAAAGGTTGATAAAGATGAAGACTGAATCCCAGTAATTTTATAGCACAATCTTAAGCATGTATTTGTATAGTGTTTTCTCATTCTAATTATGACATTATTTACAATATAGAACAAGTCGACAAACTCTATTTTGACCTTTGAGAGAAAAATTTCGTACGTTAGATAATACTCACATTACAAACCTTTTTACAGTCTTTAAAAAGAGTAGATTTCAGTTTTCGAATTCAATACAAAGTACAAGTACATACTAGAAGAGTTTCGTATTTTTTATTATATGAGGTATAGATTATACTAGTAAAACGATTTACAGAAAGACAAATAATGTACTCGTATTTTTTACCGCTTTATTATTTTTTTATTTGTATTACTCTATATCTTTAGCTAGTAAAACTAAGTCATGATTAGAAACAAATTATTCTAGATACGAGTATATGACAAGGGGAAGTGCCCTCATGGACTGAAACCCAACATGAGTTAACTCAACACGACTAGCACGCAACACCCTTCAGAAGGGGACATAGGCAAGGTCGATCCCATGAGATACAAATCATTACGCACCCAAGTAATAGGTAAAATTAGAAGATACCATATGGTAGCACCTTCAAGTTCTAAATTACACATTCTCATTTCAGTTACTAGGCTACAGCATCTGGTACTGTTAGTCTATAACATTTACATAGCGATAGAATTTCAGGTTACACTAACCAAAAAATATCATCTGCCTGATTTCTATTCCCTACATCATCTTGCCACAAGTTCTAATCTAAGCTAACCTAGATATCAATCTTTGCTGCCGGTAGGATTTTCGAGGTCATATTACTATGAACATCATCTACAGTAAAATGAGGTCATCCCGGACAAAAAAGGGCACCACACTGTTAAGATCAGCAAGCAGGCAGAAGTTCCACATTTCCTTGCACTGCTTTGTAGCAATGCAGGCTGCACAGAGGGAGTTTCGATTTAGAATCCCGATACTTGTATTCATTAGTACAATTTGGTCCGACACATTTTTCACGCGGTGGAGGATATCTGGAAATTTTCAGGTCAGCAGATATCAATGTTTGATTTTCCAAGACCGGCAAAGGAAGGATATCCCAAAATAAGATCCTCTAAACCACAATAACTATGTGAAAGAGTTTTCCAAAGAATGTCAATATATGGAATAGCAAAAGCGCTGCATAGCTTCATACCTGCAGGGCAAGGGATCAAGTATCTTTGGTAGCCCCATATCAACAGAGAAAGTAACAACTGTTCCATGTGGACCTATGATCCATCTCACTGTATTGGGTCCAAGTGCCGCAGTCTTGCCAAGCCTCTCCTGCATAGATAGACTTTTATGACATGGTCCTACAGGAGAATGCATACAGCACAAGTATACATCTTAGATTACCTGAGCCAATTCTTCCTGTTGCTTCTTCAGCTTCTCTCCTTTCTTCCGGTTAGAGTCTTGTCCGAGTATTTTTCTGATTGCTTCATCCTATGACATGTATGATAGGGTATTTTCTAATAAGGCAAAGCGAGAAAAGAAATAAAAATAACAGTTGAGGACTGAAAGAGCAAATGGTGAACCTCAGCTTCCTTAGCTGCCTTCTCAGCCAGAAATCGGCGCCTTTGTGCAATTTCAGCTTTCCTCAGTTGTTGCTCTACTTCAGAAAGCTTTTGCTCTGGCATGATCAACTAGCAGGTCAATGTATTTTCAATCAAGAATTTGGCAGAAAGACCATCAGCAATATCAAGGTAAGGCAGTGTAAATCTAATACTTCCAGACCCTACCACAAGTGGGAAGCATAAGCATAGATTGATTCATTAAATCTCAAATCACGTTTTAATTAAAGGATGGAGATACATAACTAATAAAATAAATAAATAAATAAATAATGTTTACTTTTGGAAGGGGCACTGGGTAAGCCATTTGGGTATTCCACCAGACCACCAGATTCAGGACACTCAAGAGCTCTTTTACGTGTAGTAATGGTCAGCTCTTGCCCATTAGGATCAATAGATTCTCCAGTAAGCCTTTTCCTCTTGCTCTTGAGTTCATCGTCTGAAGTCAGCTCCACTTCAAAGTCATTATCCTTGTGCATTCTCAGCTTCTTTCTACCATCTTTTGTATCACTATGAGCTAAACCCATAAGACTTACTATCCCTTTACTTTTCCTGCCAATTTCCTCTTGCCTATCTCCATTGCCAGAAGAAGCCCTAGATGCTCTGACTTTCTTCAGGTAACGAATTTCCTCATCATCTTCATCATCGAATCCCTCTTCCACATCAACTTTCTTGGCAGCTCGCTTGCTCTTATGACCCGATTTATACATTGCATCCCTGTTTTGAATCACGTATCTCCTTGAAAAGTTATCTTTTGCATCGAAAACACTGTTCCCGGGGAAGTCCTGCAATCAGTGGTATTCACACACTTACTACAAAACAATTGCTGAGTGAAGTCACTTGGTTAGTGACTTGAAAAGAAAAAGAAAAAGAAAAATTATATAGAGAAAGAAGAGCTTTATGATGGCAGGGCCAAAAGGACATCTACAAAATGTATCAAAATTAGTACAATAATAGAGAATGACTTCTTTTAACAAAATCAATGACCATCAGTGAGATAAATTAGAGTATCTCCCCGTCAAAAAGGAAGAGTTTTTTTTTTTTTTTTTTTTTATTTATTTATTTTGTTTTCATTTTTTTTTTCCTAATATCAGATCCAAAAGCACCATCCACAAACGAAGTCATGTATAACAATATACTCCATAGTTATAAATGATAACTTATTTATCAAAAAATTACTTCACAAAAGCAACTGAGATACCTGTTTTAGGTGAGCACCAGAGACATCATGCGAATCAAAAGATCTTATACCAAGTGGTTCACCCCCTAATGCAATCTCTGTTGTGGGTTTGGTATGAAGTGTGTGGGTGATGCCACCAAGCTTTAGCTTCACTTTCTTCAGCTTGTTTATGTCAGACCTGTTGTGATCACCAGGAGGAGGATGGTAAGTTTCAAAATCATTCCCCGTCCCTGAGTTGCCATTTGAGCAATGCAAGCTAATGGCTTCATGCCCTTCATACTCTGTTGGTGAGCTAGGCACAGAGAAAACATTAAGGAAATTGGTAATTGTCTTTAAATCAGGATGAGGTCGCCTATTAAAGTTACTTCTCTTTTTCCTTGCAGCAGGAAAGCAGGGACTGGTTGCAGGGCCACCGAGCAATTCCATTTGCAGAACTTACTCAGTCAACTTAGTTTAGAAGCTCTTTTTCTCGAAGAAAAAACTGATCGAATATGCTATATTAAGCATATGTCTGAAATACTGCATTGATCAAACAATAGTATTAAAAATTGACAAATGAACAACAAATAAAAATAAAAGAGAAAAGCATAGAGGTGGAACCACCAATATCATATTTTAAATTTTAGACCCTTAACAAATTTTAGCATCAAAAAATGAAATTCGGAACATATACTTATATAATTTTCATATTAGGAACTTCAACTTTAAAACCAACATGCTCGATACAGCACTATAGATGTTAACCAGTGCACAGTTATATCTTCGGAATAGCCAAGATAAAATAAAGGTCAAAAGGCTTTGTTCACCGCATGGGCAATCAGACTTTATAAACCCAGATAGCTGCATAGCTATTGTAAAGTTTTCATACTCTCAAGGCAGAGAACATTGCTCCACAACACATGTCACTCCTTTCCTTTAATTCTGTCCAAATTAAAAGCCATTTCACTTAACTTCATAAAAAAGGTTTTTTAGCTCTACCTACATTGAGTTAATTCAATCATGGTCAAGCAAAACTTGCTCCCATAAACATATTTCTTGCTATATATATTCAAAAGCAGCCTCACACATCAGTTTTTTTAGGTTGTCTACTTGTCTTGAAAAGTTGAAGTAAAGGACAAGGTTCAGCTACAAATTCAGAAGTGAGGCTTATAAGATTAGATATGACCATCTATTTCACATCATGTCAGTGTGAAGCATAGCATGTTATTTGTTACATGTCTCACATGTGACAATACGGCACCAATGGAGATTGGAGAGAAAATGTATATTAATTATAACACAATTCCTTATTATCAATAACATCAAACAACATCAGACTTTAATCATGGACATGGGATAACATTTAATCACTACCAGCAAAAGTGCTGTAGCAGATCATTCAGTAAGGTAATGAAGTTACAGGACAAATACTAACATTTGTGCACCAAATATGAGGAACCCTCTCTACAGAACCTTATTCAGATATTCAACATAACTAAATTTGGTACATGTCTTTACCAAGTGAAGAAATCAAACTAAAGAAAAAGAGTTAGTAACTTACGCTATCTTGTTATTTCACTTGCTAAAAATAAGTTCAGTGGATTTGCATGAGGATGAAGCATTGGATCGTAAGGGATGGAGGAGGAAGATTTTAGTGGATAACCACACGGAATAATCAAATTTGGCTCATGTAGCCGACCCCACTTATGGGATTAAGGCTTTGATTGATTGATTGAAAAATAAGTTCAGACATGATAAATTTAGTGCTTAAAATTCACTCAAGTGAAATGCCAATAAGTCAAAACAAGTTTAAAAAGGTTAAATTCAAGGCTACCCGGTTATACTTGTAATACGTTAAGACAAGTGAAAATCGAGTGAAGAGAACTAACCCCTAGTTCAAAGGAGATGCAAATACAGACTACCCAAGTCAAATTCACAACTGAAAGTTCTAATAAATTCAAGAGTTACCAAACAATCTACAGACTACACAACTCGAATCGATTAAGGAAAATGCAGCAGTTCTAGTATCATACAATAGTTCAATTAGCCCAATTCAACTCAGCACCTTACTTAAAGCCATACTTACAATATAGTTATGACAATCAACTTGAAAAGGGTGTTAAAAAAAAATAAAAATAAAATAAAATAGCTTTTCAGTTCTCAGAAATACACAAAATGCAAGCAAAAATAAGATAATTCTGGTCAAATTACGCAAAATTGCTATCAATTTGTACCCAATACAAAGCAAGAAACAATCTAAATTTTGAACGAAGCATAATTGAGCCTAAGAAATTGCATGCAGAAGGTTCAATCAGTTACTAAGTTGTACAAGAATATTCTAAATTGCGCACCAAAATAATCCACTACACTAACAATATAAGAGACAATAACTTCAATTTACAGGAGAACATTATCAAATTCAAAGAGAATTGCAGTTACCTTGAAGAAGCATTGAAGATAGATCAGAAACCCTAGCTCGATTTTGGGGATTTCTGAGGAGAGAGAAATAAGTGAAAAAAATATATATATAAAAAAATGGGATTAGCCTAAACAAGGTTCGAATTCAGGTGTTTCAGTTCCAGAGGAGTTTTAATTGGCAGAAAAATTAAACTTTTTTTAATAATACTCCATAGCCGGCAGTTAATACACAATCTTTACTTTATATTTGTTTTTTACCTGCAATTTCATGACATATATTTTGAGAAAGATATTTAATAATGTAGACAAATCAATAATCAAAATAATTTATACACATATATCCAATCCTTTCTCCATTGCCAATATTAAAATTATATCCGTAAATTTATTCATTTACATTCTCTAATCACCTCCTAAAAAACTAAATGTATGTGTCTTGAGGCTGGTAGTAAAGGAAAACAGATGAAGTACTACAATTTGCAATGAATAAAAATTGATTTTGAAAATGAAATAGCGCAATAACATTAGATTAACGACGCTTGTTATTACATTAAGTATTACTCTTTTGCCATACGGATTATATATTATTCGCATTATAGTTCATTTTTATATGTTTAAGAATAATCACTCTAATACCGGATTGCCTCCGAACCTCCGGTGGAGATTAAAGCTTCAACCTTATGGTGCAAAGTTCCTCGATCTCTATTCGACAAGTTTATGATTAATCCATTACTTCATATTAACTAGGAGTATTCATTACCCAAGCCACTAGCTATATTCGAATAAAACAATACCACTATCCATTAAATATAATAAAAACTGACCATCCACTTCGTATAAAAAATACCTCACAACTTTAGAAGATAGCAATTCGATATAGCATAAAGATATCACATAATCACATATCCTGTGATCAAGCTTTTTGGGAAGAGCGTAAATAAAACGCCCATATCTACTGTTTCAGGATTCCCTTGGCCTAGGGTTGATAATGGTGTTCTGAATTTACGAAAATGACCCACCGTCATCCATAAAAAGCAAAGCAACTTATCATATTTCTATAGGCATTGCTCGCATGAGTTACAACTCAAACTCATCTTTCTTCAAATCTCTATAGGCATTATACTATACTAGAGAGTTAAATTGGAGCTATAAATTATCGGTAACCTCCCCTTCTCGATCTTCTTTTTTATATGTTTTTGTTTATGCAATCTTTAATTTATCATTTCATGTTTTTGTAGTACTCCATATTAAATAACAGAGGACATAAACATAATAAAGGTAAGACTCCATATATAAGAGGTCACTCTAGGACATATTCACATATATGAATGATTTTGAAGATATATAATTTGTCACGGGACGTACAAATGGTTGTTTTATACTTCGTACTAGTATATATATTGATGGAGTAATTTACGTAGTACGTGTTTCATAAAATGATTTGATGGTTGTGATTAATTAGTCCTTATCATTCAATGATCAGGTGATTGTCAAGCAAGTCAAGATCGAACAATGACGTCGTCGGACATCTATGTAACTGCGGCATTTAAGTCAGTTCGTCAAAATGAAGTCTACATATTCATGCAAAATGAGTACGTTCTATGTGACTATGCACCCGGTAAGAAGTATGACAAAATATTGTACGGACCAGCTCATATAGGTGCCGTGTTTTCATCCCTCGAGTGTACAATATTCGGGGAGCTAGGAATAACTTGTGCATTCGCGTCTCATGACCTTGGAATTGCGTACATATTCTCCGGTAACATTTGTGCCAAATGGTACTACGGTCTATACTCTCCTAACAACAAAATCCTCGAAGGGCCAAAGCTCATCGTAGAGATGTTCCCTTTCTTGAATGGGACAGTTTTCGCGAATGGTATAGATGCTGCCTTTGAATCATCGCGTCCTTTTGAAGCTTACCTCTTTAAGGGCGATCAATGTGCTCGTATTAACTATAGTGCTAATGGTCAGCTTATAAATAACGCTCCAATACGTCAAAATTGGCCTTGTTTTAAAGGTACAATTTTTGAACATGGAATTGATGCTTCTTTTGCTTCACATAATCCACATCAAGCGTACGTGTTCAAAGGTGATTTGTACGCACGTATAAGATTTATTCCTGGTGTGAGATTTGATGTGTTAATTAGCACAGGAAGAATCAAAGACTATTGGATGGGTTTACAAAGGATCTTGCCTCGCAAAAATACTATTTACTGCAGTAATTACAACTAATTAATACACGTGATATGCATGCTCTTTCCTCACTTAATCCAATAATGAGAAAGAACATGTATAGTACTGCCATTATCTGTAATTTTTGATAGTTTATTGCTGAAACTTTCATAAGTTACAGAAAATTACGCGCCTCTGAATTTGCCTTCTCATATTTATACAGTTGTTCATACATTTCTCCCACTTGTCTAAACACCAGAGATTGCTCGAAACGTCACCTCTAGCCTTATACTATATTGAGAAATTTTCTCATCTAAACCTCAAACGATTTTAATGTATAAGAAGCACTACATTAATTTGTTTTAAGTGAGAAAATTGATCACGATGAATTCTAGCAGCATCAACAGTAGCAAGTCTGAGAGGAACTACTCAGAAGCAGACATAGCTAAAAAATTCCTTTTCTTCAATGTCCTGAAAGATGGCCGAGTCCATGTTTTCACATCAATATTCGAGAAATCTCCTCCATCTGACCACCCCGTCTCCACCCCTGGTGTCGAAACCAAAGATGTAAATATATCCCCTGACATCTCTGCTCGAATCTTCCTGCCTACTTCTGCTGTCAAGAAGTCTACAGGTAACAAACTTCCTCTTCTTTTTTACATTCATGGAGGAGGCTTCTGTATGCAGTCTGCCTTCTCTGTTGAGTACTCGCTCTTTGTTTCACTCGTTGTGGCTGAAGCCAAGGTTATAGCAGTGTCTGTTGAGTATAGCCTCTTCCCAAAACGCTGTATCCCTGCTTGTTATGATGACTGCTGGGATGCGCTCCAGTGGGTTGCGTCGCATTGTAAGGGCTTAGGGCCGGAACCTTTGATTAATGATCACGCTGATCTTGGGAGGATCTTTGTTGGTGGAGATTCTGCAGGAGGAAATATATCTCATAACATATTAGCTAAAGCAGGTGTAGTGCAACTCCTTGGAGATGTTAAGGTAGAAGGAATGATTTTGATTCATCCCTTTTTTTGTGAAGGTGAACCAATGTGGATGTACATGTGTCCTACGAATCAAGGTCCGAGGGATCATAGGCTGAGCCCTTCTGTAGAGGATTTGGCTAGGATCGGGTGTGACAGGGTGCTGGTTGTAGTGGCCGGGATGGATAGTAAGACCTTGTACGATGCAGGGATAAATTACGTCGATGATTTAATCAAGAGTGGGTGGAAAGGGACAGTGGCGGAGACTATGGAGAACAAAGGTAAGGAACATTGTTTTCATCTTTATGATTCTTTGGATCCTGAGGCTGCTGCTATATAGCGCCGAATTTCTTCCCTCATAAACCATCCACACCATGCTCATGCCCAAATTATATAGAGTAATAATGGACAATACATCAAGTTTCGATTTTTGACATGTTCTTAATAATAATGTACCGTCTTCTAAAAACTTTACTAAAATTACTTTGTAAGATTGTATTAGTAATAAAATTTAACACGTATAAAAAAAAAAACCCTCTTCTAAACTAGAGGATCTGAGTGAATTTTCTGATCCTTGTGCTCATCAACTGTTGTTCTTCACTTATGTGAAATTTAATTCGAGCAGTTCATTATTATTCTTCGTCTTGATTATATCCTCTAACCCAGTTTGCCAACGCATAAAATATTCTTACAAGTTTGTTTCCACTTTGCATTGCTAACAAAGTAGACAGAAGCCAAGTTTGGAAGGCACATAATAAGGCAAACACGTACATGTCCCTATCATAATAGTTTAATTAATTTTTGAATTCCTATACTTCTAACTTGTAATAACCTGTTCTGCAACTTCAATTTAGTTTGGCCTTTAAGAGAGCAAAATTTTATATTCTATACTAGATTAGTACCCGGACGTTTCTTTTATATGACATAAGTAATTTAAAATCTTTATTCATGTACTACATAAACGTCAATTTTAAAAGGAAGAATGATGTTTTCGGTGTTTTTATTTTGTGGAAGTACAAAATTATACTTGATACTCCCTTCTTCCCTTATTGATAGTCCTTTATAGCCAATTTTAAGTCTCAAAATAATAGTTCCATTTGCTTTTTTTAAGTACCATTAATATTAAATTTTTACCAAAATTCCCTCCATTTTGCAACAATATTTGTGTAAATTTAACTTTCCCATGTAAATTTTGCTTTTACATGTACTTTTATTACTTTCTCTCTCTACTTCTTTGCACACCCAATGTAAATTTACCTTTCCAATGCACTTTTACTACTTCTTATTTATGTTTATTAATTCCCGTGAAAATTGTCCATAAGAGACTATCATTAAGGGATGTAGGGAGTACTATTCCAGTATATTGTCATATCATTGACATTGGTGGTTATCATTGTTATGTGTGCAACAATGTATAGATACTTATGCATTAAAGTCAAAAGTGTAGATTTAACAAAAAAATCATTAATAATGTATGACATTTCACATTTAATTGGAAAGAAATTTTTTAATGTGTGAATGACACGTGGAATAGTTTGAGTTTGATGATATCAACATGTTTTTTTCTTAAAAATAGTTAATAGTAAGGCCGGCTATTGGGCTGTGTAAACAGCCCAATAGCAAAGGGATGGGCCCTTTTTGATATTTATTAAAAAGTATAAAATGTTTTTAATGAATTGATACTTGTAAAGAGCACTTTAGTTGAGATGGTACGTCAGAAATTGTTGAATGTTACTCCTAATACAAGCTTTAAGATGGCCCTGGTTAATAGATTAGGGGCAATTCACAAAGCAATTGTGATTTTGCTCTATAGCCATGTTGGGATTTGTTAGGATACTATTTGATTGTTATGCTATATTTATCTTATAGTAGTTACCTTAAATATATTATGGGTATTTTATCGGAAGGTTGTACGCTATTTATATGCTGAATGAATACATTGATGGGCAAGCTTTAAGTCCTTACCTAAAACTGTACATTGTATCCGTCACTTAGGTGAACCTACAAACCCATATTAGGGAAAGTACCTTTGCATCCTTTTCTTCATTATCAAATTTTATACATGAAATGTATTTGTTCTTTGCCGCACTTGGTTACAGTGAAAAGTTTAAATCGTACGTAGGTACTCTTATCACGTATATTTATTAATTGTTCATTTAATTATAATCTTAGCTCTGTATACTATTGGTCCAGAGTCTCTTGCATCAAATCACTTTGTGACATTAAGTTGTATAGTTATTCTCGTTTGTATTTGACGTGGTGGTTATGTATATTGTTAAATTTGTTGGGAGATTCTAAAACATGCTTCGAGCATAACAAGCCTTGACTTTAATCAGCTGTAAATGTGTGAAATTTTATGATGGAAAATTATTGAGTATTAAAAAAATAAATAGATAGTTAATTAACCAGTCAAAAGTATGTTGCTAGTTTATGTGTTTGTTTAGTACGTTTACATAAAAAGATCGGGAAAGAGAATTATCAAATTACATGAAAGTATGTTAAAAATAATTATTTAATTAGAAAATTACATGAAAGTATATGGTTAGTTTTACGTTTTTGTCTTATTACATTCTCATTAATTATTAGAACAAACAAGTTGTTCAATTCCTATTACATACCAAATATTACTTACAATTCTGTTTTTTTTTTTTTTTTTTTTTTTTTTTTTTTGGTTCTAATAGTAGATACAAATAAAGACTAACATAATCCATAATCTATATATGATTTTAGGTTACTGCCATGACTTCTTCCTCAAATCAAGCTCTGAAATTGTCCTCAAATTTGGATAAAACAAAACTGGACCTAAAAGACAGAATAAACTTGATGGAATTTTCAATTTTTTCCAAATTTGTAAAAATTGAAAATTTTTAAGAATCAAGTGGGATTTTGATTTATGGTCTAGCACGCTTGTTTGATGGGAATAACTCATTTAATTTCAATAGTGATGTCTGCTTTAGATTTTGTGTCGAGGAGGTTAGGCTTGCCCTTGGTATCGAAAATACCGGGACTGACTATGTTTCTCCTTATAATTCCAAGTCTCTTCTCGAGTATTTAAAGTGTCTTGAAATTGAGTTCGATTAAAAAAAAAAAAAAGAGTTGAGCACTTGTAAGTCAAGGGCTTGATTGAAGGAAATGAAGATTGAAAATGAAAATGAAAATATTAAATAGTGTTTAGGAAGTTATTGACACTTTATATGATTGACCAAGTGCTACTCCCCTCGACTAAGTATCAAATTGTACAACCCAAGTTTTTTTGGTTGGCCGATGACCTGGAGATGGTCAACACGGCTAATTGGGCAAAAGCCGTGTTTGACCACCTTGTTACTGCTTTGAATTGGAATTTGTTATATACACCTGGGTGCATCGTACACCCATAAATATTTTATCCTCATTTTGATGATTGTTTTTCATTTAATAATCAAATGAAGAGAAAAAACTAAGCTTGGATTAATTGGGTGTACAGTACATTCAGGAGTATATAACAATCTCTCCCTTTGAACTCTAGAATGAAATTTCTTGGAGAAAGAAAAGGGAATCAACATGTTTTCATTGGTGCTCCTCCTGTCTTTGAGGTATTTTTTGAAATATATTTGTCAATTTGATTTTTATTATTTAGGCACATGTAAATACATATTTATTTTTGTTTAGGCAATTATCTTTAGTCTGATACCTAGAATTGCCCCAAGACTTGATCCTCTCATCCAAAATTACAAAACCAAAAGAGTGAAAAAAGTCAAGTCTTGGGGGCTAGAAAATTTTACTAGTGATGAAAACAAAAGAAAACATACAAGTAGAGAAATATCGAAATATGAAAAATAATAACTCTAGCTAATAGATTAAGGGAATGGAGAAAACACGTACAATAAATTACGATCAAATGTAACATATAAATCGTGTATAATATCGTGTTTTCACACATCAAACTATTTTGTAAAAATTTAGTACATTCAATTATAACATGAAAAAACTAGAAAATCTTAACTTGGGGAAATAATATGCGAATTCGATCTACAAATTGTAAAAATTTAGTACATTCAATTATAACATGAAAAAACAAGAAAATCTTAACTTGAGGAAATAATATGCGAATTCGATCTACAACAAATATAAAGTACCCAAACTTAAGTATATAAGTCAATAAATGTACGAATACAACATATTTCATATGTGCAATATATGTACAAAAATAATATAATAAACTTATTTATGTTTAATTAAAATCAGTAATAATTTATTTGAACCCACTTAAAAAGATTGCTAGGTTAACCACTATGTAAGATATGTTTAAATTAATAAGTTAATCTTTTAATAGAATTTTGAATTTTCACAATTGCAAGCCTACAACACTATTACACATACATGCACACTTATAAGCATAAATGCAATATCTTCAAGAATTAGTCAAGTTTATAGGTAAATTAATAAGATGTGAAATGTTAAAATTATTTGAGTATTCTATTTCCCCATCACTTCAGAAAGCGATAAAAACACTAAAATAATTATCAGAGTTTTATGTTTCACCACTACTTCAGAAACGATAAATAAAAAAAAATTAAAAAACACAATACCCTGATATAAAGAGTCAAATCATACACATATAATAAAAATACTTATAATTAGACACTACACAAATACTATCAACATTAATATTAAGTTTTGCTAATTGGGTCATCTATACTAAAACTACTCACTTGATTAGATTGACACATAAAAGCTCGCTTCTTTCTTCAATGATCCCTCTTTACTTTTCTACTTAGCTTTCGAAGTTCTAGCCTCCATCCTTATTTGGTCAATATTTTGTTTTTCATGAACTATGTATGCTTTTTTCTTTATCACAATTTGTTTGATTGCTAGAAAAGAATTGAAGTAATAAGAAAAAAAAAAAAATTATTTCTAACCTTTTTCTTCTTTTACTTTGCCATTATATTCTTAACTCAAACCAAACCTTTTTCTCATTGAAGCCTCATCATTCTTTCTATTTCCATTAAATGCCGAGATAACCTGATCTTATTGGGCCAAAACTCCTTAACTGGCCCAATTACTACCTTTATGATTAAGCAAAGCATAAGTTTTCTCCACTATCAAATTATCAAATATCCTTTCCATATATACGGAACTTTTACAGTGGATCCAAACAATTCACATGAATTAGGTTAGAGATTTGAAATCATTATCAGAAAATATAGTTGTTGATATATTGATCATATAGCATATCTCTAACAGTTAGCAATGCATACGAAACAATTTCAATTTATTCAATGTATCTCTTGTTCTATTATACATATATATCGAGTTATCGACAATTAAGATTATGTAGCTTTACATTACCTAATCAGTTATCACCTTATGTGTACTGCGGAGTATTTAATGTCCTATCATCAATTGTCTCTAAAATCACACACATATTATGTCAAAATTTGTCAAACACATCTGACATATCGGGGTTTTTTTTTTTTTTTTTTTTTATATATATATATATATAAATATAACATATACCAAAGATAAATTTTTTAATAACGTGTTGTTCTCGAACCATGAAAACTCACAAGTTATAACATAGAAATGTGGCCTTCCATTATACAATATTGGGAAAAAGCCAAAGACTAAACCTAATCATTGAGCTAAAAGTGGTCCCTTTAATTTAATTAATGTTCTGTTTCATATATACATCTTCTGTGAATATACATACATTTAGACAATGTATGGCCGTATGAATCAGTCAATATTAGCAGCTTCCAATCTTCCAAATCTGTAAGAATTCATATGCAGTAAGACTTTTTATTGCATGAAATATCTTTTTCGTTGTTTTGTTAAAACAATTTGCTTAATTTATGTTTTTGTCGATTTCGTTTCATGACATCTTGGCTTTAGGGTATAAATATGTACGGAGTAACTTTTTATGATCTCATAGAGTATATTTATCACGA